AGTTGATGGATGGATCGGATGGGATGCAGGATGGATACAGTAAGAGGCAGTACTGTATGAAGAGGGGGGGGGGGGGGGGGGAGGAGCAGCAGTAGCAGCAGCCAAAACTGTGGTTCCGAGCGGATTTATACAGCCGCCAAATGAGGTGAGAAGGGCAGATCTGTCAACCACTGTCAAGAAACGTTGGCTCCGACTGTCAGACCAAAAAGAAAAGAGATGTCGATGGATAAATAATAGAAGAATAAGAGAGAGATAAAAGGTGTTCAATATAACATTATAGAGGTCACTCCAATAAAAAAATTAATTTAAAAAATAAAGATCCAAATCCCAACTGTAAAATCCAGCAGCATACACACTGATACATACCCATATCCATACACACACCCACGCACACACACAACACGCGCGCACTACATTTACCCATCCAGCTTTTGCTTTGGAGTTGGAAAAAAGTCTCCAATAGTGCAGACCGGCGACTTTCGATTTCCTATTTTAAAATTTTCAATTACTTTTCTTAATCTTTTCCCCTCATGTTTTTACTTGTTTTCCGAATTATTTTCTTTTTCCTTTTATTCTCATTTTCCCTCCCAATTTTTAGAGGTGAGGATTTTTTTTTCTCTCATGCAGACGCGGAATCCCGATCGTATGGTACGAGAGAAAAAAAAAATTGGCCACCGTCCGGATTGACCGTCCGATCTCAGGTGCGCAGCAGCAGCAGCAGCGGCGGCGTCAGGTCTGTTCCCCTTCGGGCTGGGTTTAGCAGGATGCAGGCGTCCAGAAGTGTCGTCGGTGGTGGAGACACCCGACCAGTCCTGGCGTGGTCGATCCAAAGATGTCATTGCTAAGAGATTCCCTAAACTACCGTCTTCTTTTCCCACACCTGAGTCAAGAAATGGGGCCAACTTAGACCACACTACGATCGGGGCGGGTAGGTAGCATATGTTAGTGACTTAGTGTGTATGGCACACTAAGTAGAAACCACTACAAAATCTGTGTAGGGTGGACACTCGCACTCAACTCACACACAGGATAAGTTTGGGTCAACAGGCGCTTAGTCTAGTTAGTATTATCCTCTTTCTTTCCACACCCCCCTTAGTTTATCTACCCCTCCAAAACAATACCGGGAACAAAAAGACGAGGAAATGTCCCAAACAACTCTTTGGCGGCATCGCAAGAAAGTTCGACCAAGGCGCCCGTCGTTCCCTGGCGGCACTGCGTCCTGATTTGGAGGGTTTCGGATGGTTCCTCGGCGGTCGAATCGCGTGGGAGAGACAGCACAAAAGCTAAGTAAGTAGTGGTAGTAGTAAGTAGTAGTATTGTTGGAATCCCTCCCGGGCCTAGGTGCTTTTTTTCCACCCCTTTACCTTTTTTTTACTTTTTTTCTCATAGATTGTGTTGCGTGTATTTCTTCATTTGATTGTTCTCTTTGGTCGTAAACTCCTATTTTTTTCCCCCTGCGGAAACTGGGATCGTGTCTGGACTGCTCCGGACATTACGGAGTGCGACGGTGGGAATAAGAGGTCGGACTAGACCCTCGTCTGTGTGTCACAGGCACGACCCAGACTGACGGTCGGACGGACCGTCAGGTCTGACATCCCGTTCACGCATATGAGTTAGAAAGAAGTTGGACGTTACACTGGAGAGGGAGAGACGTAAAGGGAGAAAATGCATGGTGCATGAGCCGTCTGGGGCGGCAGCAACAGCAGCAGCTGGGAAAAGTGGGAGGCGCTGCAGAAGACAGTATGCATTTCAGTCCGGCGTGCAGGTAGACAGGGCACGGCGATGCCAATTGCAATGACCAAGAGGGCTGGCTAAGCCCCGATGGCTGATCCACTTCCGGATGGATGGAGGGCTGGAGTGTATGCATGCACGGATGCATCTCTCTCGGCTCCTGGAAAACGGTCCTGTGGTCGGCAGAATTGACTGGTCGGGTCGATTTATCTGATTCTGCTCTGTTGCCTTCACAGACAGCAGTATTTCAGCAGCCATCCTGGATACTGTCGTCTAGTTCAGACTCCATGGATCTTGAATGCTGTCGTAAATGAACAGAACGTGGTGAATATCCTCGCTGAACCCCCCACCATTATCCTGGTTTGTGAAGATCACCCGATTGCCCTGGAAATTCTAATGCCCAATCGAGTAAGACAATAGCAGCCGGCGCCCATTCCGCCACCTGGTGGATCCCAACTTCAGCTGGGAAGAACATCTGCCTAGTAAACCGCTGCTTATGGTAGGTTGTTCGGCCCTCTCATGGTGGGTTTTTAAGAAGGAATCTGGTTTAGTTTCATTCTTAAAATACCCAAAGAGGGCATTTTTTCACCAAATTTGTTGGAATGGGTGGCTTATTAACCAACAAGTGTATTAAGTCACGGGACAAAAAGGAGAAAGTTAACCATAACTTATAGATACGAAAAAGCACAAGACAAATAAGACTCTATCATCATAACTTCATCTTCCACTGAAAAGAGTAAATCCCCCGCGCGCTCAAATCTTGCGCGCAACGGGTTATACAGACCGCTGCCCGCGGCAAAAGCACAATAGAACCCACATTTGCTTGCTGCATGACTCACAGTAGCAGCGCGTTGGAGTCGGCCGTGTACATAGTAGAAAGAATATGCCTTCAATAGCACCACATACTCCATAACAACAATAACTACTACTACAGAGGGTCTTTCCGGATCAAGTGTAGAGGAACCAGATAATCTACCCGAAATCCCACGCTTTATCAACCAAAGGTTCAGGAGGGTCCACAAAGCGCTGGCCGCCGCCAGTACGCTGTCGCACCGACTCGGTTCCAAAGATCGTGACCCAACGGATACTGTCTGCCTGCTGCGTATTGTTGTGCGGCACACTGCACTACTTCTTATCGCTCTGATTCTATGTTTCTTGCAACATTGGAGAGAACAAACACTAAGATAAACTTGTGATAGGAGGAACTTCTCTCCTCCAAGTAAGCCCTGATCGAAACATAGACGCAGCACGCAATGGGGAAAGGGCAACGTGAAACGAACTCGGCCTGGTCGTTCCAATCCACAACATTATTCGGATCCCCTAATCCTCTTCGGGTAGCGGAGGGAAAAAGACCTCAGACTCAGCTGATGAATCATGGAGGGGTTGAGGGCATCGTGGGGCGAGCTAAATGTCCTTGGAAGTTGGTACAAGGTCTCTTCTGGCCTCAGATTCGCTGACACCCTCACGGTCCGGCTCATACGCCGCAGCTGAGATCCCTGCTACGATCTACCATTGGACTGGGCTTCGTCGACGGTCATCTCCAGACTTTCTCGAATGGGAAGTCAGTCGGACGGGAGGCCTCCTCGTAAGAAATGATACTTCGTTATTACACGCAGCACAAAGGGAGCGAAAAGGGGATTTCTCCCGTCGAACCTCCCCCCGATCTGCATGCATGCGCTTCTCGCGTTGCCCTGAACTACCCTAATGTGTAGAACTTGTCGCTAGTCTGCACGCCCACCCACTGCTTCATGGTTGGCTGACTGAGAGCCCTGGCTTGTGCTCGTGTCATCCAGGAGACACCGGAATCTGGAGATATTACCATGACCAGGCACAAACTCCGAGCACATGGGTCTGTGGCAAGCCAATGCACAAGCCTGGTATTTAGGGGTAGTGGGCGCCCGGCGACACCGGGACTGGCTGAGATGGAGATGAAAAAAAGTTCATCCATAGATGCGGTCATGTCATCCCCTAGCCGACCTTGCACGACCCTCCTCGGACGGCATCAACCCAACCAGGGCCGGAGCATCAACCAAAAAGCGGCAGTGCCTGGGGTCAATGGGTGAGGCAAGACGATGCTAAACTTCGGTCTCAGCACGCGCCCAGCAGTGGACTCAATCAAAGCGGAGTACACTCACCAGGCATGGGAAGAGATTGGGTGAATGGAGGCACGAGAGAAACAATGGCAGAGCGCATCGCTGCGTCGGCTGGAGTCGGTTCCGGGCACCAGATGGCAAGGTAGTCAGTCTGGCGCAAGAATGCGGCATAAGCAACCAGCGCGTCGTCAGCTGTGCACTAAAGACCATGCGACCCATCAGATTGGATGCGGAATGCTGGAACGACCGTTATGGCCCGCACTATGACATATCGTGGACCCTAGCCTATACATACTTAGCAAGGCTGGAGTCAAAAAAAGAGGCATGGATCGCCTCATGGGGCAAATAGAGAGACGGCAAAAAGGTATAAAAAAAGAAATGAAGCAGCAGAGAGTACAGAGTAGGCAAGCAAGGATATGCAGGATGCAGGCAGGCAACAGGAAAAGCCCCGTTGGTGGACAAGACGTGAATCTGACGGCGGTGTCGGCGATGGCCGATTGCTGCGCCTCACCCGTCGCTGCTGTCATTTTGAGCCACATCACTGTGGCGAAGTTTCTGCAGAACCACCATGACATAATGGGCGGAGAATTTATTTGGAACTAGGGCATAGCTGGAACAATGTAGAGTCGAACTATGAATATTGTTTGACTAGTTACCTGTCGATAGTAGTTGGTAGTGAAGAATCTCCCCACTACTATCAGATACATCATGCTTAGCCTCGGGTCATAACTATGGGCGATGAGATAAGCGGGACGAGTAACTAACTTAGTTAACTAAACTTACTCTCCTGCGTAGTCTACTACTAAACACTACCTGCATCTGCATCCATCGAAGACTGTATACGAAGTACGATGCCTGCTAACCCAGAAATACCCCCCCGGAACGCAAATGCTCCCCCTTCACATGACCTTGGATTAGCGCTGCGCCCCATTGTCTGCCTTGATGACCTTCCCCCATCGCACTCATCACACGCCTGGATGCAACGGGCGGCTTCGATTATCGGAGGTTTCATGCAAGATTCCGGATTTCATCCGGACCTCCACGACGGGGACACGGCATGGCAGCCTTGAAGAAAACATTGCAACCGCGCGCGCATTGAAGCCGCTCGCAGGCAGGTCTGAGATAGCCTAATGATACCGCTAGTGAGATGCAACCTGCATCATTACCATGCATTACCTTACATGCCCGCCTAAGCGCTGAGTCCTCGCCCATCTTAACCAGAGTCAGACTTTAGCCCCCGACCCGGACTGCAACTGGCCAATACGGGCTGCCTTGCTGAGGCTAATCCCTGTTCTGTGTTTCAGACAACCCCATCCCCGTGCGGGCGACCAGGGGGGCACTGGGTCAGCCATGGCAGAGGAGGGGGCCCCCGTACTACTGTAGGGCATGCATACTACCGGGAGATATCTTGGGCTTTTAACCTCATTATTCCTCCTCTGATCCTGAGTGTAATGGTGGTGTCGACCCACTTGGTTCTGCTGACAGTGCATGCCAGTTTGGTCACCTGTTCTACTAGCCATCTTGGGAAGGGAATGGACTGGCCTGGATGCTCGAAAGAGTGTTGGAATGAGGTCATCTCGTTCGGATTCATCCTCCAGGGGAGCTGGGGTCATCTATTTTCCTATCTAAGGGGACACCGAGCACAAACATCCTGGAGATAGGTATGCGTACTTTGTCCGCTGATCCAGGGGTCAAAGCTACAAGGAATAATGGTCTGGACTCATCACTCTCGTACTTCTGGAGAGGTCTAATTATGCTGGAGTCCGAAGTAGGAAGTCCCTATCTTGCGAGCTGAGCTACTGATCGCCTTTATAGTTCTGTTGTGAGACAACAGTCATTCGCACTTGACGTAACTGTTTACAAACTTCCCTCTTCGATACTGCCAATCCCCAATCCAGCTGAGATACCCCTCGCTCGTCTCCACCACCTCTTGGCCATCTAGACCCATCACATCGGTTCAGGTCACCCTCTAACCATGGTCTGTCGAAACCGGGGCACATTAGCTGATGTCAGCACCTAATTGCGACACTATTGATATGGCATAGCATGTGGACTGAGACCACCACAGCCAGCCAAACTATATTATATAGATACCAAGACCATCTGAGCGCAAAGTGCTTTGGCTCGAGAATGAGCCGAACAATATGCACAATATGTCACACTATCACTTACCTCTAGTACGTACTAGAGAGGAGATCACTTTCAGCTGGCTATTTTGCGTCTGCATTGAGCGAAGAGACCTTGGACAGCTGACTCTAATGTAACACCGCACATGCTTTCCGACTTTCTTTCAACTGCTGTGAATGCTGAAACCGATAAGTAAACGCGCTTGTGAGATCTGTCTTTGATGCCTGATATGTCACAACAGTGGCTTGAAGCTTGTACAACCTGAGGTAAAGTCGACCGGGTTACTACCATCATAATGACACTGCATGAGGCTCTGAAAAGAGGACCGGACGTCAAAAGTTCGACCCCTCTGGTTCACGACAGATGCGCTAATCACCTGACCTGTCTACTTGTGTTGCTTTTCCTGTACGATGTATCATCTGTTGCCTATGTGCGGAACATGTCAGTGGTTCTGATTGGTGTCCGTTGCAATCTCTCTCTTTTTCTTTGAAGTCTTTGTTGGGCATTTACTACGGCTAGCAGAGCAAGCAAAAAAGGAGCAGAGGGACTGCAATACATTATTAGTCTGCACGAGCTAAGTGATACCATGAGAAACTGAATAACGCTATAATTGCCTGGAACTTACCACTTTGTCCTTTTTATGCTTCCCATACTGACACTCCTTCCAGCGCATCAGCTAAATAATTGCACCAGATAGAGACCTCATTTTTACCTTCAACTCTCTGAATAGCACCAAACCAATTAGCACCAACTCTCAAGTTTTTACCTTCTCTCCCAAGCCATATTACTCACGATTAGCTTTCAAACTTAACCAACTGCCAGGATAATTGGCAAGTTTAAGATTGAGCATACAAAGTCTGCGGACCAACGGTAAAACTTTACATCCCATTATGAAGCTTGTACAGCCAACGTCACGGATAGAGTGTTACACAGCCACACGACGCTTTCTTTCAGGGAAGAAAGTTAAATTCAGCTTCGAAAGAAACTTTGATATAAAGTACTGATTCATCACGTGTTGGCTAATCTATAGGATGAAATTCTTTCGAAAGTCTCGGTCAAGCATGCGTGAAGTTCTAAGAACCATTAGTATGTATCCGGACGAGATGTTATTCAAAGATGTGGGGTTAACAAAGTTATAAGAATAACCTCTAATGAAATCCAAGAGTCAGAGATGTGGGATTTCAATGGCTAAGACTGAGTCTTATGGAGAAGGTGAGATGGTTAGATTCATTTGGTTTGGGTATTTCATGCTGTTATGACTACTAAAGAATCTTAACCGAAATCTAACTTGATTTTACCTATCCAACCCACTACTAAAATCTCATATATGGTTTTTAGTAGCAGTGAAGAGTATCATAGTGGACACGTGAAATATATTTTTATAAGCTACTTTGTATTTCAATCATGCTCGATGGACCTACTACTAGTACACGATGAACCCAATTTTCGAAATATCCATCTCAGCACCAACCTCACTAACACCAAGCATGCCATGAATCATGGGATAATGATAATGATAAAGAACAGGAAGTAACACACACTCACACACATACATATACCTACTCCCTTGTAAATAATCTCCCCAAGAAGTCAAGATAAAGACAAGCGTGAAAGCCTCATTTCCGTCAGGACTGCTAGTGACCCGCAATGACATGTTTCAAGTCTAACAAACAACATTGAGTCGTATTCACGGAAGCTTCCTTTGACATATATGTTATTCTCTTCTAGTAAGAGACGTGACTTTGGGTGATTCTCGATATTAGGGTCTCTATCTCTTTCCTGTCTTCATCGAAAGCTTGTCTCCAAGGTTATATGTGGTTGTCCAGGATCTCATTGTGTTTCAAGATCGTTGATCTGACGGGGTTACTGGACCCATGGGTCTAGCTTTGAGATATGGGTATTGGTTCGTGGTTTGTGTAGCTGGGTAGGATAGAAACATGGTGCTTCTTTGGAATAAGTAGTAGTTATGAGTAAGGCAAAGGGATGTGATGGGCTTGGGTATGTTCAGCTGCGTGAGGAAGGGGTATCAGTTGAGCTAGATAAGGCATGGAATAATTTTCATGATCACTTTATGCCGCAAAGTTGATAGTCTATCAGATGTTAGGCTCGCTCTTCGAGCTCTTTAAACAATATATTGTCTACAGTATGTCTGTACTACTATAGAACCAGTGTTATAACCTGCCTGACTACTTATGATTGAATGTGATTCTACAGTGATATAGTCCTACTTAAGTATATTATATACGTCTGTAGTATCATTAGCGACAGCTATTAGTATATTTAGATCTTCTTTTACCACTAAACGAGATCAGTTATCGTATGTATATTACGTTTAGTTCCTGGTATAAGAATCGAAACTTGGGCTATCAACAAAACCAAGTGAGAAGAGAACCAGCAAGTGATTCAAGACATGTACACATATCAGATATAGCAATCTCATCTCGCTTCACACAAAGGCCCTTCTTGCTCAAATACATAGCACAACAGAGTAGTATATAGTTTACCAGACTCATGCATGGCGCTGAATAAGCGCGTGCAGGCCTTGGGGACTAGCACCCACCAGTTCGTCCACTTTCTGGCCATTTTTAAACACCATGAAAGTAGGCAAGGTTCTGATTCCAACTTCTTCGGCGATGTCAGGCTGGGTATCAGAATCGATTTTAGCGAACTTGATCGCGCTCGACTCAATACTAGAGGCCAGATTTTCGAAGATTGGACTGATCATTCTGCAAGGACCACACCATGTAGCCCAGAAGTCGACAATTACCACATCGCCCGAGTCGATGAGGGCTCGGAAGTCGGAGAGACTGATAGTGTAGAAGAGGAGCATGGTCAGTTACTTATTTGGACGATTAGGATATGTTCAGAATGATGATAAAGGTCATACCTCTCAATAGCAGGAACAGACATGATGCAGAAAGGTTATTGATAAGAATTGAATTTGGGAGTGGAGGATAACGGTAAGAAAAAGTGGTGCTAGTAGTTGATTTTCTAGTAGTCACGATTTGGATAGTAGGGGAGGTTGATGTTCAGAGGAAAAACACAGTCGTGACGGGAGGGAAATGAGTGGGTTTTATAGTTACCAACATCAAGCTGAGTTTGTCACTGATAACATGATCGTCAACTCGAATCATAGGTAACCCACTTCGCTCAGGCCCTCAGGTTTGTTGGTATGGAATATATGGATTGGATTTGTTGATGAACTGTACGGCTGAGCAGCTGAATAGCTGAACAGCCATCATGGTCGAATCATTGCTCTTGATAGTATCCACTAATGCATCATCAGCCTGAACCCCCACTTATTTCACGGGATAGATCTGCCCCTCCTTCAGCCGTGCAGATATCCATCTCAGCTTTTCCAGAAAATGAAAACCGCCCAGATAATCTCTGAGTTGAGATTATGTAGTCGTGATATAGTTGGTTGGCTCGAGGTATCTTCAAAGAAATGTTTGAGCGACACAAATCTACTTCTGCAGAAATAGCCCCAAGTCCCAAACAGGTGAACCATCTTCATTCTTTAAAGTATTTATGCAAGTTAGTTCCTACCTCTAATGATATTGTGTATTATCAGTACCGTGTACTCAGAAAGGGTAGGGCATGAATTTACATTGCTGGTGCTGCCTGCTCGATCGAAGAGACTCCAATTATTCCTATACTACGTATATAGCCTTAGGAGTTTATATAGATATGATCAGTAAGTAAGTCAATGACAATTGAAAACTTAACCTACTATACAAAGATCATATATCTCACATATAAAGTGCCTAGAGAAGTCCCTGGAGGTACAAAAGAGATGTTGGACATAATTCTCTAACGGATACTCGAAGATGACGAAGGGAACGGCTTCTTCAGTCTTTTTTATCTGGGAAAAGAAAAGAGTGTAACTTACCTATCAATAACAATTGTGTTGATCTAAGGCCTGTAGAGGCATAGTCAACAAGACTTATTGCCAATCTGCACTTAGTTTGTAGTACCTCAGGTACATCATACCAACATCCCAAACTTACCTAAACTCTCGTGAGGCAAGTCATGTATATCAAGCGTTTTCTATTGAAGCCAAAAGAAAAATGAAAGGGGAGGGAATTACAGAGCTTAAATAAAAGGAATCTCTTCACAAGCTCTCGTCGATGCTTTTTCTATCACCTTTTAAGCATGCAAGAAAAATGAGAGACATGTCAATTAGACTGTAGAATAGCTCAGTTGGGGTAATGATCAAGTCTGAATCACTTCGTATCTATCAGTCTTGCTGTTTCATATTTTATCAGATCTTACTCTTCCAAGTCTGAGTTGGATGGTTATTACAGGTGCTCGTCAGAGACCACGTAGAAAGAAGAGGAGGAGGCAAAGAATCGGCTGACATCTGCCTGGCTGCAGTAAATGTCTCAACAAAAATACCAGCTCAAGAAACATGCAAAAAGAGGCAGAGTAAATTATAGATCTAGGCTTCCTCGTCTACACTGTAACAGAGCATCTCTTCCCGGGAATCGCTAGCAGGTAGTCCCACAGGAGAACCGCTACATCACTGAATAAATATTGCAGACAGGCCTGCTCAGGCGGTTTGATCAGGTCGGACTTGACCCCCTCCCCTAAATATACCTAGCGAAACCAGGAACGCGTAGGCCACGGAAAATGGGGATAGTGCCGAAGACGCTGGGTAGAGGATCTCAAACACGCACCGACTGAGTCAGGGAAGGCTATACATACTTATTATGGTGACTGGCAGGCAGCTGGTCAGCCAGCTGTGACACGCCTTTTTAGGATCTTTTTGTATGCAGTTTAGCTAAGTTTAGCTGCGGTGACGGCCTTCCTACGCCATAGCATGCATTGTTGCAAGTCCCTGTGACTTCGAGGGAGATAGCGTCTAGAGCCGAATTCTTGCTTTAACTGGTGAATCATTCGTGTAGCTAGCATCTTACCCTAGCAGGCTCGATCAGATAGAACAAAAAATTGAAACATGGATTGATCTGAATAAAATGCTGTTATGAGACGACACCAGGGACCAGCCCCAGGTACGTAGTCTCTGAAAATTCTGCGGCAGGAGTAGACGGGATCAGTGCTGAATAGGCCATTTAAAAAAATGGCAAGTAGTTTCCGTCTGCTCAAATATCGTTCTGATGAATAAATCACGCAATGTGTTGGAAAGCTCATTTAGTGCGCCTTCCCCCGAAAAGGCTGCTATAGCTTTTGCTAGCAGTGTCCTAGCCTGAGATGGTATATAGGTGAGTCCTTAACGGGTAATAGGGCTATGAGTGAAACACCGGCTCCTAAGTATTCCATTTTGATATGCATAGACGGATGAGCCCCGATGAAGGAATGAACAGGACCCGTAAAATCCGTTGCATATTCCGCTTAAAGTTGTAAAATTGTTGGAACAAGCACCTAGGAGGATAGAAACGCATCTAGAACCGAGTAGAAGTAGATGAGAGAATGAAAAAGGCGATAAGATGACCCTGAAATTCGCATTGTCAGCTTGAAACAACCTCAAAGTTATACCTACCCCTATCAGATAACCAACAGTGCAGCAGGAAGGAAAGAAAAAGGTTTGCCGCGAAACAGAGGAATAAGAATTAAGGAGAAAAACTAAGTAGCAGATCATCCAAGACTTGACTCCATATTTGGGCCATCTACCGTTACAAGATAGAGCGGAAGTAGATCCGGTCTGATTTTTGGGCCAACCAACCCAGACCACGACCACATCCGCACACCATCCTGCAAATTATAAACAGAACAACTAGAAGAGCAATGAATTAACTTCTCGTACCTGGATGATTCCATGGGATCTAGAAAGTGTCTATAATTATCATTCTGGTAGAAAACTTATCTAGTTATCTACGACAGAAATGGAAGTAAGTCAGCACGTTTTGGGATGCGGCAAGATCGGCCTCCCTTGCTGATCGAGAAAGTAGGGCCCGAGCCGTCAAATGACTTTCCCCTTGCCAGTTCTGATTCCTGCTTTTGCCTCTGAGGGCGTGGTAGTCTGGAAGCAAGGTCTGCACTGTGTCATGTAGCACAATGTTTTAGTCTGCAATATGCGATCTACCAGAGATAGGGTAGCCCCCCTTGGTTGTCTCATCTTCTTGACATCCCAAGGTAGGTGGTGGCTGATGTGGTCATCGCTGCGGATCACAATCTTTTTAGGGCCATGAAAGATGAATTGAAAGATGAAGTGGTTTCTGAAATCAGATTTTGAAATCTTGAGATCCTAGGATGAGACATTGCTCCGTATATGAAGGATGAGGTGAGATGTTCGGGTGGTGAGAGGAAATACCTCGGAGTTACGCAAAGTTAATGCGGGTGTAGAGGCCACCATCTGCAAAAAATAGCCCGCACACTGCATCGTGGAAGATTTTTATTATGCAGGTCCAGTAATGTAACATTCCGTTTCTTTCTTCATTTGAGGCACTGTCATGGCATTGGAAAGAATGACTCGCGACCGAGGGGGAACTTGTGTTGTCTGGCGAGGTGGGAATGAGGGAGGGGACCATCCTCAATAGATGATAGCCTACTCAGAATCAACGGTTATGAGTGTGCCCTGACCCATTCCTTCCCCAGCTTGACCAAGAAATCCTTCGTGTGGTTGTTGAGGAACCACGGCGCCAACCCCGCTTGATGGTCGCCGTCGATCATCAAGCTAATTTAGACCGAGTCCGAGGGGGAAACCTAAATCGCCAACTGCCCGCTCGCCAACTCCAGTAGCCAGGGCCATTGCTACTTCACATGTTACCGAGCATCTCTCTTGCCGAACCTCGCAGCACGGCAACTGCTCCTTGCGCTGTTTCGCGGACTCCGAGTGCAACCTCGCTGCTGCGGGTGGGTTGGGCACTTATGTTGGCCATTGCACTGAGGCCATTCCAACGACTACTCGTGCGAGTACATTGTAGTTAGCGTCCATCACTGGAGACCCAGGTTCTACCGGTTAACTACTATTGTTTCCACCCGTCCCCGCAAAATCAAGTCGGAGAACATTTGCCGTAGATGGCTTAGGTGATAGTCACCCACAGCTTCCAGACTGATAACCAACGTGAACGGCGAACACTGCCACTGGGTAACAGTCGAAAGAGTGGACCTCCCAGGTCACACCCCTTAGCCAGGAACTAGGACTCCTGTTTCCCAAGGCACATCCAATCACTGTTTGGGTGTCAACACCCACCGCGGAGTCAATTGCGACATGGCATCATAGCCGCAAGGGCAAATTTTGTCAGATGCTCGCTTGACTCAAAATGGATGGGCTTTGGTGTCGATCACCGAGGTACCCAGGAAGTTAGAGCGGAAAAATAAGCCCATATCGGGAGCCAAACCATGATCCTAAGTGCACCTCGTAATTTCCCTTCCCATTCATTCGCCCCCCCGCAAGGCAAAGTGCCCCTAACGCAGCTTAAGGTGCACGGTTCACTCCGACAAGCATAGGCTGCCCCAGATCAAACCATCTACTCGGTTGGATCAGAGGAGCATTCCCCTGCGGTGGGTAGCCAGTTCGGATACACATCTAGTGGTCCAATACGGACGATCGTCACGTTGTCCTTGACCAGGGACCGAAAAGGAATTATCCCCGTTAGGTTAGGAAGAGGCCAATCCGCCTGGTCTCGGTAGTATGGCTATTATGAGACGCCCCAGCACGTCCTAGTCATTTCACATGTGGGGTTAAGGACAACCCTCGGCCTTGTCTCGATATTTGGATCGATGTGGAGAGCGCGGGTGGCTGCCGTGTATCTGCAGGCATAAAAGGAGCCTTGCCGTCTGCATTGATCTGGACCCTGACCCGTCCGTCGTCAATTGCTGGCATTCCCTGGTGGAGAGCACCCTCAACATGCGCGTCTCGTCGGCCCTTCTTTCCGCCCTTTTGCTTTCCAGCACTTCGCTGGCAACTCCGGCCCAGGTCTCCTCATCCGTGGCCATCTCTACACAGGGGAGCCCGGCGCCAGAGGAACATGTTGCAGCACAAACAACTGCTGCAGCAGAGGCAACTGCGGCGGCGGCAGCGTCGGCGGCAGCAACTGGTGCATCCGAGCAGACGGCCAGTACCAAGCAGCAGCCAGACAACGATGCTAGTGCCGACCAGCAAAACGCGAATGCTGCCACTCAGCAGTCAAATGCAAACACAAACACAGACACCGGTAACCAGCAGCCATCTGCCGATGTAGCTGGCCAGCAAACCACCCCCAGTGCCGTACAGCAAACAGCCGCAGCTCCGGAATCGACAAGCCAAACAACTGCCACCCAGTCACAAGGAGGAGATCTTCTTGGTGGACTGGTGGGTGGAATCCTTGGTGGTGGCTCCAGCCAAAATGCTGGAGCAAGCAGCACGGCTGCCGCCTCCCCCTCAGCAGCAGGTCTTGGTCAGTCTGCCACCTCCACGCAGGACACCGCGTCTTCTGCAACGACGAGTTCTTCATCATCCGCAGGCGGCTCTTCCGGAAATCTTTTGACGGACATTGGTGATGGCCTCGATGGCCTCCTGGGTCTCTTGTCGCCAACATTCTTGAAGAATGTTGAGTCTTTCTTCAACCACTTTGCATATCTGTTCGATGACAAGACTACCGACCAGACGAAGTCATTGATCGACACTGCGTACAACCTGCTCACCAAGCAGTTGATCACCGAATTGACCGGTCTCCTCAACAATGCAAACAGCCTATTGACACCGAACTTTGTGAACGAGACCCAGCAACTGATCAACTCGGTTGGCCCACTCGTCACGCCACAATTGTTCAAGAAGGTCTCTACCTTGCTTGATAATGGCAACAACCTTTTGACTGCTGAGTTTGTCAAGGAGGTTAACGGCCTGATTGGCAATGCAAACAACTTGTTGACAGCCGACTTCGTGAAGGAGACACGTGAGCTTATCGAAGCTGTTTCTCCTGTACTGACACCAGACCTACTTGGCGAGGTTGGCACGCTGCTTAACAACGCCAATGATCTCCTGACTGCAGACTTCGTTAAGGAAACGAAGTCGCTGATCAGCGCGGTCGGCCCGATCCTGACTCCGGAACTGCTGAAGGAGGTCAACACGCTATTGACCAATGCCAACAGCTTGTTGACTGCAAACTTCGTCAAGGAGACAACATCTTTGATTGATACAGTCGCGCCTAATTTGACACCAGAGCTGTTCAAGGAGATCAACTCGGTTCTCAGCAATGCCAATGGTCTCTTGACACCAGGCTTTGTCAATGAGACTCAATCTTTGATCGAAACTGTTGCTCCTAACCTGACCCCCGAATTGTTCAAGGAGATCAACTCTGTCCTGGGCAACGCTAATAACCTGTTGACCACCGACTTCGTAAAGGAAACCAAGAGCTTGATCGGCGCCGTTGCCCCTGTACTTACACCAGCTGTTCTCGCAGAGGTTGCTGGCTTGTTGGGCAATGCCAATGACCTGCTCACACCGACATTCGTCAACGAGACTCAGGGCTTGATTGGCGCCGTGGCTCCAGTCTTGACACCTGCTCTTCTAAAGGAAGTTGGCAGTCTCTTAGGCAACGCCAACTCTCTGCTGACTACCGGATTCGTTGATGAGACCCAGACATTGGTTGGCAATGCGAACGACCTACTGACGACCGATTTCGTCAAGGAGACCCGTAGCTTGATTGGCGATCTTTCACCGGTCATCACACCTCAATTGCTATCAGAGGTCTCAGGATTGCTCGACAATGCAAACTCCCTATTGACAGCGAAGTTTGTCAATGAGACGCAAGGATTGATCGACGATCTCTCGCCAGTCATCACACCTGAGTTGCTCGGCGAGGTCGGCGGACTTCTCGGCAACGCCAACAAGCTCTTGACCACCAAGTTCGTTGAAGAGACCCAGAATCTGATCGATAGTGTGGCACCTGCAATCACTCCTGCTCTCCTCACGAAGGTGAACTACTTGCTGGGTAACGCAACGAACCTGTTGACGCCTAGTTTCGTCAATGAGACGAGTAACCTCATCGACGAAGTTTCGCCGATCCTGAGTGAAGTTGCGCCAATCCTTACACCCGAAATGCTTGGCGAAATCGGCGGTCTCCTTGGAAATGCCAACGACTTGTTGACTTCGAAGTTTGTCAACGAAACACAAGTACTCGTTGAGGACGCTTCTGAGGTAAGTCCCTTTTAGATGACAACCGCACAGTGAGCCACAGACTAACTTTTCATAGTTGCTTCCCGCTTTGGTTAAGGTCTTGGGATCGCTGTGAATGTAATGAGGCGTGATATTTGAAGGATATACGATCTGATGGACAACGAGTCTACTTTAATCCTATGAGTAATTATGTGTTTGACGTTGATGCATACAATGTTCACGACGCTTGTGCTGCCGATTCAACGTCAAGTACAGACGACGTCTTAATATTAGCACATCCATATTCATAAGATCTCCTAACGCCGTTCCTGTCGTGGAGCTGGCTTTGCCGTAATCGCAAGATCAACTCATCGCGGTGTTCATGGATGAACACTTCCTGGCTGCCTCCAAGCCTTGTAGAGAGGAAGTAGCTCGATTTGCCAGTATGTTTTCCGAGTCGTAGAAGAGGTCTCCATCGAAGCCGAACCGTTTTCAAATATCTATCACGCCGGGTTTTGGAGAAACAATCCTAAATGAAGCCGAGCACACGGTATGGCTTGTCCATCCCATCACTGGGTGCCAATTCTGGTAGAGCGGCTCAAAGAGGAGTTTCAACCTGCTCGGCGCCATCTGCTAGTCGACCGGGCTTCAAGGTCGCACAATGATTCATCTCTCATTGTAATTGTCCCCTGTGAGAAGACTGGCGGTTCCCTTTTGTTGATTTCCATGTATGAATATGTCTGCATGGGTTGTGTAACTTCTCTGACTGAACGCAGAATTTAAGACGCAATGTTCGAAGTCTTGACTTCCTGGTACTTGGACAAGACCTTCATCTCTGTGTTGCGTTCCTTGATCTTCTTGTCCATAGCTTTCTGCACTTCTTCGCGTTTCTTCTCGGCATCTTCCAGCTTTTGCCTCACTTCCCTGGCAGCTTCTTCTTGCGCCTTCAGGGCCGCTTCTGGTGTCGGATATTCCTGGCGTAGTTGTTCAATCTGGGAGCGTATTTCGTCTTCGTCGATGGGAGTGCAAGTAACTGGATGGTATTTGTGCGGCGGTAATGGTTCGCCCGGAATACGAATCTCAGGTAGCAGTTCGTGAATCGCAGTGGTGCGGACAGGGGAGTCCTGCGGGACCGCCTTGGCTGTGGGAGAAGGCGTCGGCTCAGAAGGCGGAGAGAGAGGGAGTTGTTGATCCATATTGATGTAGGCTGTTGAGAACGGGCGTTTACTGGACAACCATATACAAAAGTCGAGTTCAATAGGGTAGATTGTGCCAGAAGATAGTGAGATTTCGCAGGTTATTGGAAACTGAGGTGATGAGAGTTCTTGAATGTTCCTGGGATTTTGTCAGTTGCCATTACTGCCATCTTCCGGTTCACCGCCATTAATGGTCACCTGATCCGAGACGGTGCCCCGCAGCTCCATTTGTATTCCAATGAGCTTCCTTCACGGCTCGCAACAATAACTGGCTTGTCCTTACAGTTACTAGTACTTGGAGGCTGTCTATACTGCCGCTAAATATCCACCAAAGCGTTCATCTTTGCAAGCCTCGAACGTTAGCGCGTACGTGATCCTGATTAGATACGTTCGGGCGGTCAGTTCCTGCCGTCAGGGGGAAGCTCGCCGCCTTTGCTCCGGATGTGGGGGTTCGGGGAGGGCCTCGACCGGCAGCGCCTCTCAAGATGTCGTGAAGCTACCCGGTCACTCAAATAGATGAAAGACAGGTGATACAGGTCTGTTGAATTCGCTCCAGGCTTGCCAACCATGCAGGCCTTTGGTATGTTACCCATCCTATATCTCATTAAACAAATCGGGTCACCAGGTAGGATGACATGTCTTCTGGCAATTGCGCTAATGATGCAACTCTAGTCCCCAAGAACCGGAGAGTAAGTCGATCATGCTCGATCCATGGAAGTATTGAAGATGCCAACTCCAGGTGCAGCCTCGGTTTGAGTTAATACTCAGAGTAAGGACCATTGATCACATTGCAAATGACCTACCAACTAACTGCTATGATGGTTGTAGATCATTGACCTCAATAATGTTCCCCTCGTGAGCGGTACCGCTTTCGTCAAATGGCGCCTACCGTCATCTAGTGCGCCTGAACACCATGGTCACACAGATAAGGCGATCATCATAGATCATCGGGCATATTGGAACTATGAGAAGGTCCTGCAGGTCAGGCTCACCATTGACCGCAACCAGACTCTACACGAATGCGAGTTGTACTTCGAAGTCATCCAAGAGTTTGCGTCAGGGGGGAACAGTGAGAAGAACCTGCTAGGGAGGATCAGACTCAATCTTTCCGAATATGTGGATAAGAGTGATGATGACGAGGGCATCGTGCGAAGATACTTGATGCAGGATAGCAAGATCAACAGCACACTTAAAGTTGGTATAGCTACACGCCAGGTCGAAGGGGATCGGAACTACATTACGTATGTCATATACTATACTGGGATGCGCTGTAATAGTTTCGAGGAGCATGTTGCTGATGACATTCAGGCCGCCTCTCAAATCAGCCATGGTCTTTGGCGGAATCGCTGGGGTTGTATCCTCAGAACAGGGCGAACACGACGATCTGGGCCGGCTTCCCTCGATCAACACCCAGAGTCGCGAAGTGACAGATATGCAAGACATGTACCGCCGCACACTGGCCGCGTCTTGGAATTCGCGGGCGGACGATTTACCGGCCGACAAGCTGATCGAAGAACTGTTCTCCGGTGGCATTAGCTGGGCAGATGGGCATGATGCCCGTGCAGAGAAATCAGTCGAGAATCAGGCAGATCGACTGGCACCACATGGGCGCACAAGCGTAAGGCAAGCTTCAGCAGACAATCGATTGTCTCCTTCCAATTTTGAGAGGCGACCAAGGAGTTCTTCAAGCAATCATTATCGCAACGATGTGAAAGGAACAGACTTTGCCCCAGCCGCTGATCATACACGGAAAAGCGGAAGCATAGAACAGCAACTGTATGACAATCCCAGAGGCAAGGCTTGGAAGAATCGTAGTTCGGAATTTGAACTGTCCGAGTTCGATGTGCGCGAGGATTTGCGAAGTTGGGAGGTCATGAACAAGGAGTGATTCAGTATGGTGCTTTGTGGCGTTAAGCAGTCTCTTGGATAATACCCCTATGACTTTTACTCCGGCCTCTGTTCTTCAAAATATCTGCTTTCTCACTTATGGCACCAGAATGTTGGGGTAGATAACTGCCCATGTAAGCGTAGTCTCCGATAACCATATCGATAATCGAGGAACTGCTCGGGGTGGGTCCACATTGTGAGCTAATCCACTTATAGACTAGCGGATGGTTCAGATTGCATCAATCTGAGCTTCAACTTTCCATCCGGGCTTTTCTTAAACTCCGGTCTGGTGCATTTGGTGTTTCGTGGTCCATATGCTGTCTCGATCTTCCAACAGTGCAGCAAGTCTTTTAGGCTGCCGGCTGCTCCCAGAATGCAGAGCAAGCTTACTCCCTCCCTCCTTGCGCCGGCATAATGTATCTATCCGGTTCGAATCCACCGAAACTGATGCGAATCACGACGAGACGCCGCCGCAACACGTATCTTCGCGCCGTACCCCTGGCCACAACCGTCTCCAGCACCACCGACTCAAACGGAGACTGGGTAAAAAAGTACCCATTTCTGTGAGCTCGCTTGGAAATCCTGGTGAGGTAGTAGTGGTCAAGGATCGGCAACGCCGTCGACTACGCATAGCCAAGGATGAGCCGAAGGAGGTCACCGACGAAAATGCCCTTCCTCTCTTTCTGAGGGAAATCGACAATGACGATCAATTTGTTGATAGCGAGCTGCTCAAAACTCGTGTCGAAAGCTTCCGTCTCGATTATGAACCTTATCACAAGTTGCCCGTTGCCGATTGGACGGCGCTCCGAAACGAATTCCAGTCGTCATTTACCTACCGGCAGTTATTGGACTATATAATAGAATGGAAGGAGAATGAGTTGGACAGGGACGGAACACCAGAGACGACCCCCACACGCTGGACACCCGGAGTCTCCGAGTTTCTCGAAAGCAGTTATCTATCCCGAAAAGGTGTCGCCGATAGGGTTGCAGCGTCGCAAGGTCTCAAGGGGAAATTTCTACTGGCTGAAAGGATACTTCGTGACTGCTGGCATCTCGGAGTCCTTGATGAAGTTGGTCAACTAGATATACAGCTGCCGACGCATATACTGTCTTTGCTTCTCAGTTCTCAGCATTTCTCTTTCGAAGAATTGGCCAACATGCACGACGCAAAGATTGATGTGACGCATTCGCTTGGTCTTGTGAGGATCACAGGAATGCAACGTATCTGCGAATCAATCAGTGAGATTGTACACGATGCCATGGCTAGGGTTCGACAAGAAAGCATTGAATTGCCACCTGACGAAACGAAGACGAGAGTCAACAACCGCATCTACACTCCAGAGTTCCTCTCATGGGTGACCAAAACCTATAGAGTAGCATTCGAACAAAATACACCACATACGCCAAGCCAAATCTACTATCTTGCCGAAGACAAACAGGATGCAGATAATGCCCGTAGGGCCCTGCACCTTGCCTATTACAGTGGAACTGCTCCTGCTGTACCGTTCAGCACATACCTACCCTCAACTGAGCCAGCCAGTGTCCATGACATTGATCCTGAGAACAACACGTCATGGTTCGAGAGGCAGAAGCCGTGGTTCCGATGGGCCACACCAGCAACGCAGTCTGACGAGGTGAAGCCCTCGGACACGGTGATGTTCGATAACCATCAAACTCGGGTATCCGACGAGCTTTTCAAGCTACTTCGACAGAAATCATCCGTCACTCATCAGGCACATTCTGAGACCGGCGCCGACTTCCATGAATCCATCACGGCCGCAGTCGGCAAATGCCTCTTCCTACGCAAGCCATTCTTCGAAGAGAGCTCGGTCAACGCTTCTCAGCTCGGCAGAATGTCACTCCCAAGGACCTTCACCACCGACATCCCTCGCGCAGCGCAATTTCTCCGCACGCTCGCCCGTAAACCAGTGGACGAGCACCAACAAGCCTACCGCTTCCGACTCGTCCCATCAGCTCTTAATGCCAACGTCTTCCCCCAACTCGAGCTAGAAGTCACTGCCAAAACAAGCAGCACACCCGAAGATGCAACCCCCGACTTCTCCATGCGCAGCGCAAAACTTATCCTCTCCGAAAGCAACGTCGATTACCTCCTCCCCGAGAACGGACTTGACCTCCGCTTTACCCGCAAACTCACCCGGGAGCTCCTCCCCCAGTCCCAGGACAGCAACTCCTCCTCCCTCTCAAACATCCAGGAATCCCTCCGAAGCCTTTTCTCCCGCACCTCCACCACAGACGGAGAACTCCCTCTTCCCCCGTTCACACAAGTCACTCTCCCCCGCGATATCCTTCCCCAGGACGCCGCCGACAGCTCCGCAGAGTACATCTTCCTCCCCGTCAGCGATATCCGGGGAACTCGTATCCACAAGTACGATTTCCGTGGCCAGCAGCTCAATTATGCTTTTTACGAGAGCGGGCCGTTCAACCCGTACCGTACCACAGACTTGTTCCTGAACATGGACATGACGGACGGTTTTGCGTCGGCTGATTCCAACGTTGATGTTTCCTCCGAGAATGTGTCGCGGGATGCTGCTGCGTCCAAGGAAGAGTTCCACACGTTCTATAACACTGCTTGCGCCCTGGCTTTCGAGTTGGATAGAGCGAGGCGCTTGGGGGCTGTTTGGAATGATACTATCTGAGTTAAGCTGGCGGGAAGCAGTCTTCGATTGTATAAATAGATATTTATTTTGACGATATATGTACAGTATGATATAACTTGTAATTGGGAAGACTTTGCCCCTCTTTACTTTATTTTTTGTGTATTATATACCAGTAGCTAGGTACTATTCCTCATGGTTCCGGTGTTCTTCTGATGACGAAATATATTTCCGCCGCGGTCTTGAAAAGCCGATGCATAACACCCGAGAGTAGCAACATCTCTAGCGCCTAGTGCGCTTTATTAAAGAATTATAAAGACGCCTCTCTAGTATGTAGTACGAACCGATAATTGCTTTTTGAAATCAAATTCCAATAAAGTCGTAGAAATCATGAATCCCTCTCCGAAGACCATCCTCCCATGCCGCCGAATTCTCCTCAAGCTGCTCCGGGTCTATATCTCTTTTGCGCTGCTGAACCCACAACTCTATATCATAGATCTTGTCCGCACCTTTCCGCGGTGCCAAGATACCTTGAACACCAGCGCCAAAGAATCGCAAGGCATCATCGTATCCCAAATTCCAGCCATGGACGAAGCTTTGACGTTTATTCGAGCCCCAAGACTCC